GTTTTTATCCCATTGTGCTGCAGTTGAATTGAGCTGTTTTAGTATGGACTGTGAACTGTGAAAGTGCTCAAAGTTATATCAAAATGTAGGAGGTCTAGAATTCAGTATAAAAAGGGATTTAAAAAAAATATTGAAGCACAAAAATTGGCTTTGATTTATTTACACTTGATCTGGGAGCTAAGGATAGGATTCCCTACAATGTTACGTAAAATAATCCAAAATCTGCGAAGTTATTTTTTGTAAAAAAATTCTAATTATACACAGAGTTGATAAGCATATCTATTTAGCATCTGCAGCTTGGTTGACAATAAGACTCCTAGGCAAAAACGGTTAAGAGAACTACCCGGAGTATTGAATTAACTAACCAAAGTAGTCACGAAAGCTAGCCGAGTCCGACAAGTTTGAAACAAACAAACTACCATGAAAATCAAATCCAACAAAGGACAAAACTTCCACTTTAAGTTGGACGCTTCAAAGAAGCTCTCCATTAAAGGAGAATATGCAATAATGTTGAATCGCAACCGTGGGCTGGCTGTTAGTACAGTTACAAGAATATTGTTTTACGTGATAACGTCGTTAGTATAACGAGTTTTATGAAATACATTTAGATTAAGTGGATTGTTTGATCTAAAAACGGATAAGTAGATAAAATGTAAAAAAAGTAAAGCTAATGCAAGCTCTATATTATGCACGGAATTTTCGTTTTACAATCCCAAATACAAACGCCGCAAAGCGTGATATCATCACTAGACTAACGTGAACGCATTATACCTAAACAACTCCTCGTGAATTTGTAACTAAATAAATTTATAATGTAAGCTACATCTGACTAGGCTATAAATTAGGTTGGCGTAGTAAGTGGGATATTATATTATTGGGCTGTACAGCACGTTCCTAAGACCTCAACAATCCCAAACACTTTCCTTTCAGTCGACGAAGCGCAGACGAACAGGTTAACTTTTATTGGTCATTAATTACACTGCCCGACAGGGGATAGTTAGCCACCGGGAAATGAATGGGACTACTTCAATTTTTGTTGCGCTTAACCACGTAATGGTTTTCTCTTTGTAACCTAAATAATATATGAAAAGGATTTCGGCGATTAATGAAACACCGATAGTACGGTAAAGGAGCGGTCGTAGATTGGCTTTGTTCCGCTTGCTTAGGTTAATTAGGTGATTTTTTATCGCTTTAAACTTATTTGAGTTGTGACTACGTTAATTGAGGTGCTGGCTACTATAAGTCGGAGATTAATTGCGCACACCTGAATAACAATCGCAAGAAAACAAGATAATAAATCATTATAATTAAAGAAAAATGTGGAGACTGCTTCTGTTTGTTGGGTATAGAAGATTTTTTTCAAAGCATTATAAATCAAACCTATACAGCATAATTAATAAAAGATCACATATTTTATTCCAAAAATTTCCGATAATACATCTACACATAAGCTATCTCGAAAAAAATATTGAAATTAATTGAATCTATCAAGATAAAAAATCGTGCCTATTAAAAATCCACTGTTTTGTTTGCATTTAATTTTAATTTCAACATTACATACATACCTTCCTCCTCTCTAGTATTCGTTGTATTACAAAACGCAACAATATTTGAAACAAAAGCATGTTATTAATTTTTTAATTAAATTTTTCATTTCGCCTTTAGATATAAAATGCATATTTTTAATTTTGTTGTGAACGTTTATGCGTTTTACTGCCTGCAATATCATACAAATGTAAGGGGAAAAATGCTAAAGTATTTTGTTGCATTTTTATTAATCTACAAAATCCAGTTTAATTTAAAAATGTATACTAGCTATTTGTTTATAAAAGCAAAAATACAACAATTAGTAGACAGGTATTGCGAGGGAAAATAACTTGCAAAAATTTCAGTTGAATTCTTAATAATTTTCCTTTTGACCACGTCTACAAAATGCACTATTATCGGCAAAAATGTGAAGTGGGTACTGTGTATATTTGTTCCAATTGCACGTAGTTACAATAAAAATAAAAAGGGGGAAGGAGAAATTAAGGAACTTTTCATGTTCAACAGCAATTGAAAAAAGTACAAAAACAGGTTAATTGAAGCAACTAGTTTTTTCATTCGTCCGGAGTTTGTTGTTGGAGTTGTTTCAATTAGTTAGCTCGTAACTGTAACCATCAGCTTAAAGTAAATTTGTATGTCTTGCTTAAAAGTGCTATTTGAACATGTTTCCTGCTACGAGTAGGAGGGTTACATGTTTGAAAAAAAATCGAAGGAAATATTGTAATTGACGCTCGTTTCCTAGAGAAATTTGTAGTTAATTCCAATCTTCCTATAATTTATTATCTTCACGTTACTTGAAATAATAGTAGAATAATTTTAGGTTCAAAGAACTATTATTTGAGGTTGTTGTATTTTTATTTCTTTAGCTGAAATAGTTATGGTCTATGCCTCGAACAACACAAAAAACTTTTGTTTCACATTAAATATACTAGGAATCGGTTTAATTTAATGTAATTACAGGTGCCTATGTAAATTATAGCTTTGGTATAAAGGAAAATTAAAATCTATATCGACCCAATTTCAAGACAAAGGCATGTGATAAATTATTGACTGAATTAAATTAAGTAAAAGGTGAATCTTGCAGGTAGTGTGAAAGTGCTGGAGTTACAATCTAGGGGTTGTTTGTGAAATTGGGTAATTGGAACAGAAATGAAATTTAAACCAGCTTGAATATGAAGGAGTGATTGATCCTTGTGAGACATTATGTAATTATCTAGAATATAAAGCATGTGGTTAATACTTTAAGACCGAAAAATAAATAATAGTTGGTAATGATATTTGTAAATATTTTTCACTCAGAGTGAACCGAACTAACTTTTCTTATCAATTGTAACGTAGTGTTTTTATGTCCTGAAACTACATTGTTTGCATGACGGTACAATTTCATAATAATACCAATTGTGGTTTATATAAGCCGTTAAGTGATAAAACAATTTATGTAATCTCGAATGTTGGCATTTTTCCATTGACTATATGCGATTTACATTGCTGGATCGTGCGTAAATCGATTACTAAGACCCGTGTAATTTAAATAATTATATTATTGTTTCTATTAATTAGCCGATTACGAATAGAAGAAACAGAACTAGTAAATGCAATGCATTACATGAGAAAGATTAATAATTGACGTAATGCATAATATGCAATACACCTCAAAAGGGAAACCTGAAGCGTTTATATTAACTACCTACACTACTTGTTACTGTCGAGATAAATTTTAGTAACCTGAGTCTCAGACGTATGAAATTAATCGTATGTGGTTAGTTTGTTGTTGTTACGATTAAATTCGTGTGTGTTGGTTAAAACGAAATAAAAGTTCCCAAAGCAGTTAAATTTCAGTCCGAAAGCAGTAATTTCTTCTTACCTGTAGCAGACTTTTATTTAAAAACATGGCCGAAACAAAATCTTCTGTAAACATTGAAAAGATTTCGTTTTTAAATTTCATTTCGAAAATGCTTTCTTATCGAATTTCGTATGTATACTTGCGTATCCCTTTAACAACAGAACCTAGAAGCCTTCAATATATTTGAATATACGTTTTCCGAACCATATTCCGCAAATGTAACTAACCAGAATTGTTGAAATTGAAATGATTTTCAATTTACTGCACGTTCATCCACATGTCTCTCCTACATACATTTTATACAGGTATATTGCTTTTTTAATAAAACAAATTATTCAATTTCATTTTAATTCTGTTTTCTGTTTTTAATTGATGACATGTAATATCCACTGTTGTATGATAATTGCACAAAATAAATATGTCCTTCAATTATTCGTTAATAAAATATTACCTCATGGAAATTATCGATATTGCTCTTGTTGAAATGTTTTTACAAATAAGTAGCACAAAAAGTCTTACGTGATGGAAGTACAATAAACTATGTACCACAAAATGCAATTCTTTTTTAATAAAATACTACATATACGGGTATTTGCATATAATATTGCTGCTACATCTTTTGTGTAAGGGAGGTGCACCAGGATAACTTTGATGTTCTTTCCTAACAGATACCTGCAGCTTACAAAAAAAAACCACAAAGACTGGTAAAGTAATGAAAATCGCATTCTTTTAAACGCGCAGCTCTTGAACGGAATTCTGAATAACAAATTTGACGAAAGTTTCACTAGCTTTGATTTTTCCGAGAAATGTAAGCGCAAGAGCGGTCTCATTAAAGTCATCCACCTTTTCGTACCGACGTTCTTTTTCTTTCGTCGAGAACGAATTCAGGTTGAATTTTAAAATACTTTAAAAGAGGTGAAAATTTGCCACGTTTCCACGGGGCTTGCTGTTACATTCAGGTAGCTAGAATACTACAAAATGCATCAAGTATATTTATTAATTACACGTCACCGTACTGGCCAAAATAAAATTTATTTGACTAGTAAATTATAGCGCAATAATACTCGATGTAAATAAGAAGATATTAATTCACTCGCAGAAATGCGTAAGTACAGACGCAACTAACCTACGAGCAGATTATAATAGACTCTTTATTAAAGAAGAGTTAAAAGGAAATGAAATTATTGGCCATGGCAATCAGCTGTACTTCAATGCCATAAAATTTTGACGACCAACTCAATAACAGTATATTTTAACGACATATCAAATACACCCATGCCTGTTCAATTTCATATATTATAGGTACATTGATATTCCATTTAGGATATTAATTATTTGGGAATTAAATGGCCAAACTTGTGAAAGTTCAATATTTTAAATTATAGAGATAATTTTAAATATGTAAATAGTTTATTGAATAACTCGAGTTACTATACTGAATTAAAAATAATTTTTAAAGATTCGTGCGCAAGTAATTAAAACACCATGAAGAGAAAATTAATGAGAGTTAATTTCCTGTCTATTTTCTACAACATGTGACAACTATCGCGTTAAATAAATATCGGATAAAATTAAAGAAACTATAAAAAGTATTTTTTAAAGGAAAACTAACCTGAAGTTTTGACGTTGTCATTGTTGAAAACCAGCCACAAGGAAAAGAAATGATCGACTTTATGATTAGCGGTGAGCTGTCCATCAATTCCAGATGTATTGGGCAGAAGGATAGCAGCGTTCGTTGCGTAGGTCAGGAGAAACGGGATCGCGATCCCGATACCGGCTCGCGGAAGACCCATCTCACTTGTTACACGTTGAAACGCGCGACTACTGATACTGACTACGGACCACCATAACACCCACTACAGGTCCTGCTGTCTACTGCTGGCGGATTCTGCTTGTTTCTGTTCTCGCAGTTCGCACTGTTCGCAGTCAGGACGCCACAAGAAAGAGGCGACTCGGCGGAGAAGGACGACGGGGCTCGTCGACGGAACACGCAGTCGAAAATCGATTGGTTTACACACGCTGCTTTAGATTTTTTTTTGTTAAATTGGTTGATGAAAAAAAAAATACAAATTTCGATATAACCTAATAAAAATGCAATTTCCGCTTCTTTTTCCAAGCACCCAGGATTACTGAAACAGTATAACAGTTCATTCAAAAAACTTATTCCTCAATTTCTTGCTAATCCTTCATTCAACATTTATACAAAATTCTCTACAATCCAGCTAGTAAGTCTCTAAAATTGATTATTTCCCTCTATAAAAGAAGGCAATTTGGAGCGCCTAATTTGATTCCTCTCCTGCTATCAGCCTCATTTATAACAATAGAAATACATTTTTTATGCGGTAGCTACAAGATAAAATAATCATGATTCAGGACCCACGCGCGCACGACAATCGAATACCCATCAAAATTTCTTAAAATGAATATCGAAATCACGAAAATCAATTATTACAGTGACTTGGAAATTGTGACTGTTACGATGAATACTAAACACAACATAAATTCAATTCATAAATCGTTAAAAATTTTACCGACTGAATTTAATAGCAATTAAAATATTTAGTGGGTTACGTGATCTATTAAAACTTATTTATAACTTATCATAGTTTATTAATTTTAGTTTATTCAGCAGTAGGTATATGAATAAATAAAACAGCATCCTAAAAGATTCACAATTCCAAATAAAGAAAACATATTTAAAGATTTAAAAAGTAATATCCGCCCCAAGGAATAAGGTAAATACTAATGTCAGAGCGAAGATGATAATATTGCTGCGTTTATTGCGGGCTATATATTTTTATTACCCTCCCTAAAAAAATCATTTAGCTGATAAGAGCGGTTAAATTTAATTAGCTGAGTCCCTTTAGACGATTTTTTTAGATTAAAACATAGCGCTTTAACCAAGTTATAAAAATCCATCAGTTTTGCACAAAGAGATTAGCAATTTGTATTACAAGTGAAGTTTTGATTTATTATCTAAAAATTTCGAATAGTTGGCAGCAGGAAGGCAATAAAGATGGTAGGAGATTTTGAGTTTTCGTTTCCAATTACCATCTTTATACGCAGGGGTAAAATTAATTATTCCCTATCCTATTTGGTAAACAACTCGAAATGGAACCATAAATTATATTATACCTACTTAGCCATAATTTATCATCGGGATGATTTTAAAATATGCATTGTCAGGACCGAGATCGAGATAGGATCACTGGTCTCCCCTCAAATGTTTAGGGGGATTAGGCCAAAAATATCTTATAATCTGCGTTTTGCCTAAGAACATTGTAGGTCCTCTTTTTTGAAAGCTCAAGGGCTCTAACGTATTAAGTATACATATTTTAGTTGCCGCTGTTAGTCTTCATTAATGTTACATGAATTTATTCGGCATTAACTACACACAATGTAGTCCGTGACAAATATGAACAAATTAGGGTTCAACTTCCAGGGTTTCTTGAAATTACTCTATATTAAACGCCACTTTTATTTTGTTATTTGTTGTACGCCGAATTTGCAGGAAGTAATTAAACGTAGATATTCATTTAATGCAAATAGAGGAGTTGTTCACCTCAAGAATCTTTAAACAAAGGCTGCGTTATTCGTAAGAAAATTATAATGTATGTATGATGAAATGTTTCTTATAAATACGTTATTAATCACGAATTTAATTAAACACGTATTGTATATTCCGCACTTATCAGTTAGACAATCCGTATAATCCATTAATTTCTCTACAATCTTTCAGTCCGCATAAGGTCAGGCAGCACGTATAATAAGATGAGCTCGAGATAAACTTCTAACGAACAAAACGTCTTAAGCATGTCATCAATCTTATAAAAGCACCGCGAAGGTGAATTAAATCGGAGGAGGACATTCTGCAAATGATGTGATAGATGAGAGTATTAAACCATGTTAATTAAAAGAGTGGTTTCATTTTGGCGTAGTTTAGTTTGTTGTACTCTCGCAGTGGAGTGAACGATTTCTAATATAGAGCAGCAGGTGCATGCGATGCATAAAAAGGCTAAGAATGCAACTGTATTGTAAAAAACCGACATAGTTTCTGTGAAACGCTTTAGTAGTCGAATTTCGCTTTGTGGTCGTTTCGAGTTAGACGCAACGCGTTATTGTCCTTTTTGCAAATGCCATGACACGAATTTCACTTTGTGGTCTTTTCGATCTACCTGTATAGCGCTTTGTGGGCGATTTTTATCTCGACGGGGTTTTTTGGTTTTTGAGACTAACACGCAGGTATTTCATACCGATCAGAAGCAGGACTTCAAACTGATTTGTGAAACTAGCAAAGGTTTTTTTTTCCATTTTCTAATTTTAATTCAAAAATTGCGGGGTCAACATTCTTATTTTCGTGACAAATTCCATTTATGAATAACTAACGATGAGTTAGTTATGGAAACAAGTGGCTATTTCTTAGGCGTAGAATTCGTTCGTTGTTAAATTTATAATAGAATGTGAGAATCACATGCCAAACAACAATAAAAATTTCAATGTTAAACTTTTTTTTGCCGAAACATGCACACATGTACAGGCTAATAAAAAGTCCTACAATATTGTCGATTTTAGATAGTCCGGCTTATTCATTAACGAAGTCGTGACTTTATCCAATAAATTTATCTTCACGCTGCAATAAGTCTAATTGAATTCTAATTTTTATCCAAATGATAGAGTACTCCATATAAATTATTTGTTTATCTATAAGTAGTATTAATTTTGTATATTAAAAAAGTTTTGATAAAGTAGAATACCATTTCTATAAAATTTTTGTACACATATTGTTTGTTGTATACAAGAATATAAGTACACACAGGAATAAATGATATATCGTATTGACTCTCATAATAAAATGACAAGAACATGCAGGAACGAAACTAGAAAGACAAACTGCTCTATTAGATCAGCTGCAGAAGAAAAATGAGAAATTGAAAAATTGCTGGTATCACATCGACGCGGGCAATAAATTCGCCGAAGAGACAATTTCGACAATTCCGACTAATATACGAAACAATACGGAAACTTCTCGCTTCTCCAGGAAGTATGAGAAAAGTTCTGAAATTCAGTGCATGTGTAGAAAGTTTTGTGTTTTAGGAGTTTCCAGACTTGCCACTGGTAAAGTGAGAGAAGAAGAGATCTAAGGATTCGGTCTAGCCAAGGATGACTTATCAACTTTCTACATTCGGAAGGGTTTGTGGCAGAATATGAGTGCGGTCATTTTCTACAGCTAAACCGCTGTTTTCGAACTTTGAGCCGACCTAAAACTCACCATTTTGATAACTTTCTGTTATATTACTTTTTAATGGAAACAAAACTTCCAATAAAATTGTTTAGACGTAGCATATGCAACTAATACATCTTCTTGTAACACTTAAGTTATCCACTGGAATGGAATTAAAACCTAACTTCAAAATAATACTATAGTAAATCGCCCCTTGTTTGAACCCATTCCTTTGGATCCCAAATTCGCTCTGTACGAAGATAAAAATTCCAGAAGGAAATATATCCGTTTCTTTTTCTATATACAAGCAATAATCCTGGCACTGGCTGCAAAAGAATGCGGACCTTTTTTAATAATGTTCTTTATTTCCCATCTAAATTCCAAAGCCGTAGTAAATTTGTTTGTTGTCAGATAGTTTTGTGGAGATCGTTATATCATCAAAAAGCTCCATCCGAAGCCCGGCATCTATGCATGGCCTGCTATATTCGCGTATAATCGAGTAGGTTGGGGAAAGGATATGCCCGGCAAATATATACGACAAGGGATGATGTGGAAATATGCGACCGCGTTTTCGTCCTGAAGGATTTTTCGCTCTTGTGTGACCATTCCTACAAATTTATTATTTTTGAGGACGTGCAATGGTTGTATAACGTTATATCTCCGAGCAAAAAACGAGTTCCTAGATATGTTGATCATTACCTTACTTTGGCATAGAAATCCTATTACTCTTCCTGCGAGTACGTTCCTCATATCGAAGTGGATTATCTGATACTGCATAAAGATGGATGTTTACTGTATTCCTAAAGGAATACGAATGCATAACGTAAACGAGGATAAGTCGGGATCAGTTTTCTCAAAACTGCGCTTTTTGATAAGAGACTATACCATATTTAAAAAAAAAATATATTTCATGATTAAATCTACTATTATTATACTCGTATTTATTTGTGACGATGAATATTTTAAACAAAAAACGTTATTAGGGTTTTGTATAAAAAATCGGGTGAAAATGTATTCAGAATTTCCATGCAAGTGCACCTTCTGTTACGCAATAATGTAGATACCTATTTCCTCAGCAGAGTAATGATGGTTTCTGAGCTGCATACTGAATAGTGCGGGAATTCCGACCGAGAACAAGCGTGATAAGACTCTTAAGAATGTTAAAATGACATTGTTGACAAAGTTATACCATACCACCCGCCCGTTATGCACAGTTACGAAAGGTTTTGGAAACTAGGATGTTTGGCGTCATGCGAGCCAACTTGCCTTAACATTCACAGACAATAAAAAATTACATTATTGTTACTGTTGTTTGCTGTTTATAAACAACCCAGTGCTGAGGTAACACAAAATAAAACGTCCATCCACCTGCTGGTACATCGTTTGTAAGTAGACATTCAATTCCGTTGAAACAACAAAACTTCGGAATTGAATTAAATAATCTATTTCTAATTTCGGGTCTGAGTTCCGCATAAAACGAGCAATAAAACTCCGCGAATACTTGCATTTGGCAGGCGTACAGGCGAAATCCATCTGAACTTACGAGGGCAATCCAGTTCGGCTCCTGCGAGCGGAAGGTGAGGATTGCCAGATAGTTCATTTCCGAGTCCGTGAGCTTAACGCCGCCATCTAAGAAACATAATCCTTCCATTTCACGGATTCCATTCCTCGTACGTAATACTCGAGCCGGTTAAGCCGGCGGCGTTAATTGGAAAATTGCATTAAACCCCCTATCGAAGAAGTGGCTAATCCGCGGGGAAAATTGCATACAGAAGAAAGTTCGGGAGTTGCGTTAAAAGTTACCGGCGTTTTTGAAAATTTCAATATCTACTCCCGTTAAGAACTCCGTAACGAGGAAAATAATTCTCACAATAAATTGTAGTAGAGAAAAAAGCTACACTTTATATAATTAACTTCGATGAACTCCCGCTGTAAAACTTCGTTCGTTAATGAAACCATCTCAAATTTTAATTTATAATTTCATTATTGCAGAAAATGTATTCTGCAAGGTGGAGCGTATGAAGTAAAGTAAAAAAGAATGTGTAGGTTCGTATATAACAATGTTCCGTCTGGCTCGGGCCCTAGAGAAGTAGAATATACTCCTGTTTTAGTCGGTTTACAAAAACATACGACTTTTTGTGTTCCGGTGAAATATGAGAAAATAAGAGTTCTTGTAATGCGTTCATTCATTTCGGAACGATGACAAATAGTAATATAGATTTATGAAACGAGGGATTTTTAGGATTCAAAGAAAAGCGAAGGGGAAGTAAACATTAGGCAACAGCTGTCCTGCATGATAAATTGGCTTTTAGCCGTTTGTTACACCTGAATACTGAATTATAAAGTGCTCACTTCGGAGCCCCAGACTTTTTAAGCTCTTGTGTTAATGTTTTATTGCCAAAGTGAATGAAGCGGGATAATTAACGTTATGAATAGAGAACAGCAAATAAGCTTTGAATGCCTAATTTTAGATGTCTTTTTAATGCCGTACCTATTATTCACGAGACTTTCTAATTTCCAACATTATATTACCGAATAAATAATCTCAACGGTTTAAATCAAAGCTTTATACCAATAATCCAATCTGATGCCAGCGGATAATCTCGGACCGTATTTCTCGGGCGCTCTCGTTAAATTCTTCCCGCAGGTCATATTGCGGACCAATATTTTTTCAATATTCCAAAGGATTATTGAATCGTCCTGACCAAGAATGGGATTATTCCCAACTCAGCAGAAATATAACATTGAGATTAAATCGAGCCCCTTTGAACGGGCCATAAAACAAATAAATAAATTGATGTTACAAGGCGCAGGCAGTAGCTAGTCGGTCGATGGGCCAGCAAATAGCCAAACAATGGGAAACGAGACTTTAATCTAAATGTGATTCCTTGCAAATAACGAAGATAAATATATTCTCTAGATGACCAGGTCAGATTGTCGGATGAATTACTACGGATAAATGGGCATTAATACCAACATTAATTCGTAAAATTCCCTTTATATCGTTCGGAATGTGTTGTATCAAAACCCCCACGTGCTTCATATTCATCCCTCAAGTGTTTCCATTTCGATTTGTTTTCGTTTTAAATTACCCCATTTGATTAACGTGGCGTCGGACGTCGAGCCACGTCTACGTATAAGGTACGCGAGTTCGAAGGGCACTCATTGAATTTCACGGTGGATGGAGCATGAAATTTAATGTGTGATTTGTATTGATTTTTGGCGATAACTAGGATTAAATGGATTTACTCTGTCGGAAATTGCTGTCTGGAACAGCCAGTATGTGTAAGTACGTTGATGGATAGTGATTAACTCATTTGCATGCGTGTATATAGTTACTTATTGCCTTCCTTATGTATTACCTAGCGATGATAATTTGTCGTCTGTTGAATTCGGAATATTTCCAAGAGCCGTTCCCTCTTAATTAGCAAACAATCGCTTTATCTGCTTAAGTTTAAAATATGAGCGAGCATCGAATTCATTATTCAAATGCCTTTATAAAATCGTTTAAGTAAACATTAATTTACATTTATCAACTCCCTGAACGGAAAGTCTAATTAGCCCGATCAGCTTTTTATAATAATTGTCAATCGGTCGTAGACCGAGCATTCCGGGTATTGATTTAGGGCTAAGCGGTTTATTGGGATTATTAAAATATTATTTTTGTTCGCTCCGGCCCGAGCTTTTGAGCCCGCACAGAACTTGATTAAATTAAAAATTACATTATGGGGAAATAATTTCCGAATTTTCATGACAACGATTCCACCATGCGTAATAAATTCTTCATTGAATTCCGTGCGTTATACAAATGCGTGCTCAATAACAAAGTTATTCATCAAAGCCAAATTAAAAATTGTTTACATGTAACACAAACGTGGGAATAATGAAATAAAAAAAGGTTACAAAACAGCGCATTATAAAATTTATTAATACATAAAAAAGATCCAAATTTTACGAAATACTTATCTCAACAGGTGGACGATCCGCGAAGCTGCAGGAGGAAAGTAGTGGCGGTATAATTGCACGACCTGGAATAGTCACGCAATGGAAAATGGCGAAAAGGTCGCGATAGGCCGCCGCTACAAGAATACGAGAAGTAATTATTGCTGCTGCAAGAACGGAATTCGATTAACTTCGTTAGCTGGGATGGGGACTGATGAGCGGGATCCTTCTCGGGGCTCAGTGAGCGTGAGGGCCGTGGACAGTTTTGAACCGCCTTGTTAGTAGCTGCTTGTTTTTCTGGGCCCGCTGTAAAAAGTGCGTCGTAAATAATTACCTGCATTTAAAATGGACATTTTCAATTGGTTAAAAGGCAATTAGGAAAAAAAACGGGTTTTTTCGCGAACCCATTTCGAACCATGTGCTCGCGCCAGTTGCCAATAAAAAAAATAAGCAATTCTTAAAATCCGGAAAGTTTAACCGCTTTTTAAAGATCGTAAATTTAGAAATACGGCGGTGCATAAATGCATTTCAAGTATCATAAATTTCGAATATTCCAGTCTCGGATATTGCAGGATCCGCTTCTTGTAAGAAAATTCATAATGTGCCATATTGGCATCGGCGATAAGTGAATGGGGATGGATGAGCAACAAGTTTTTTTCTTGCAGCTCGTTAGGATATTAAAATCGCAGAAAGCTTCGAGCTTATTTAAGGCAATTTGCATATCCTAAAGAGCTCGACATTTAAGCGAGAAAAGTACACGGAATGACGAAACAATAAAACGAATGTAAGAGATAGTTAAATAAAACCGTTTTGTACAACACTGCATAATAATGCGATCAGTATTCCAGTTAACGGCCGTTTTTGCAATAACGGACAGAAAGAAAGCAATATTTTATGTGGTTTAAAATTCACTTCGAAAATTGTAGCCAACATATTGCGAAAAACGGTATAAAGAAGGGGCGATTTACATCAATCATTAAATTTCCGTTCTCTTTTTTGGTTTTCTCGGGTTTATGGTCTGCTGTCAAACGTGATGGTTCCACTCGATTTGCCCATAATACATACATGCAAAGCATATTTTCGAGATGAAACCTTCTTCACCAAAAGCAATAGAGAATTTTTTAAAAGAAATATAATATTACTGCTTTAAATAAATAATAAAATAGGCGGTTAGAAGTTACTATTATACTGGAAATGAAGATTTTTGTGCAACATTGACCTCCGCACTCACGAAACTTGAACGCGATATGGACTTTCCGTATGAAACGCGTCGAAATATAATATAAAATCGTGGGAATATTGTAGTCGGCGGTTCGAAAGGAGTGCCGAATTCCGCTGGGTCACAAACATGCACTGGTGCCTTTATGGAAAGATTTAATATCATCATCCGCGCCCCAGAAAGCCGTCATCGAACAGTGACACGTTTTCCATTCGCCTTTGTGTCGCTAAAAATGTTTTTATACATTTTTATCATGCAGGAGGTTCAACTAACGAAAAAAACGCGCCGTCGAATAAGCCCAGTTTTATTTACCCAACATTCGAATGTGTAGCAGTATCAATCCCATTCATTATATTCGAACAAAGGAACGGAAAAAAAATATCAAAAAGGAGTAGCGGCACGCTCGTGGATTTTTTTCGCTTTAAACTGCAAACGACTGTTTTCACTCGTTTAAATTTCTGCCCAATTTCACAGCGATATCGGGGCCCCATGTACATACGTAATCCTGTGTAAAACCAATAATGTGATTATACTTTGCCCGGCATTTTGACGTAGTTTTTGAGCACGTTTCATCACGCTTTATTGAATTAAGGTACATATATGTGACGTCGGAATGACATGATGGAAAAATAATGCTTTCAGTGTCGGCCCTTGACCGCGAATTTCACATTTGCTAAATAACCAAATTGATGAATTACGGGGGGATAAAATAAATTTTACAATTAGTATTCTCAGCGAAGAGGATTTAAGCTGATTAAAAATGTAGATATCCAATAAAATTGGTTAATTTTTACTAACTCTTTGTTATACTGTAAGTAGCATTTCATCAGTTTGTGCATTATTCAGAATTTAGTGGGCAATTGTAGGTTGAAATTTTCCTATTCTAGTCTAGTTCTAGTCGGGAATAAAGTTGGGAATTCGCAAAAAACTAGACTGTTGTAATTTATTTTCGTGTTCCAGCCCGACGCTGTGCAGGTTTCCAAAAAAAAAAGAGGAAATAACATCACCATGATGAATTACGGTTAAAACGAATATGGACAGATTGACGTTTTTACAATGGAAGTTTTTCCAATTCCGAAATAACATTAGGTATATCTATATGATATTGAATTTCACGGTATCACAAAAGTTCACTTTTATCGGTGTTGCATTACAACTTTCGCTGATATGTTTTGATTTGGCTAATAAAACCGGAATGATGGATATATTTCCAAAACGGCAATAGCTTCAAAACAACAACAAATACTCACTTTGAATTTCAAGGCTTGCTTCGATTCGAAATTCCTCTTCGCCAGAGCCACCCGGATCTTCTCCGGCTTGTCCGAAATCGCTATGTGCAAGACGAACCTGATGCCGAGCAGTACATGCTCGAGCACCACGAAGAGAATCAACCAATCGACGTCGCTTAGCGAAGGCATAGTTTGCCTCATCGGCGGGCTGACGTAAAGCAATCCGCAATTAGTGAGTATTGAAAGCGCTCCGAGGACCTCGAAGGCTCTCTGCAATACATTCAAACATTTATAAACCATTACCGAGGGTTTAGTGTAATGTACTGACTTGCCAGGCGCCTATATCTTTGACTTTCCTGCACATTGGTCGCCGGTAAATCTTGCACAATTTGAACGCGTCTGCTCTGATTTCGACCAAGTTGTTCAAAACTGCCCATAAAGCAGCCAGAGGATATACGGAGGAAAACAGGAAGACGTATCCGAATTGTATGAAAAGTTCTAAATAATCGTCGTAGGTGCCTTCGTACTCCTCCATGTCGCCCTCTTTCATCGCTTGTTTGATTCGGTTATCGTCTGGTTTAAGTTCGGGAACTATGATGGATGATAGGACGGTGTCGTCGTTGTTTTCTAATCGGTAGTTCTTTTGCGCTAAAGTGTTCTGGGGTTTTTCAATTTTTTTCTGGAAAATATTGAATTTATGGGCCTGGAAAGGAGAATCTTTAGCAACTTAGTTTTAGAGGAATGGTTCGTTTTTTTTACATTCAACATGTAGTATTTCACAGCCAAAGGTTGGACGGTTTCCTGGAAATTGTTAATCGTTTGCGAAATGATCAACATGGTTTGCAATTGACTTCGCAGATTCTCCATATCTTTTATGTAGAAAGCAATGTAAAATAGAGCCATGAAATTGTTGACGAATTCGAATAGAACCAGTTTGGTTACTCGATGCCTCTCGAACTGGGACTGCGTCCGATGGTTCTCTGAAAGATCATATGAATCGATACCGTCGTTTCAAAAACATAATTTTACATAATTCGAAATAAAACGGAAACGCCCGCCTTCCATTTGCGATGTTTAAATATTCAAATACACAAAGTAACGCGACGAATGGAAATATCCTCCGAAATGATTAACCTTTCGATATGGATGTTATACACCGAGCGCCGGAATGACAGATCAAAAATTATATTGACGCGTTTAAATAAAACGAATTTCGTCGCAACGATCCTCTCGCATCGCCATCGGGTTCGGTGGTTTTCTAAAAGCATTCGTGAAATATGCAAAGGTTTCCCTAAATTATGCAAGAGTTTGATTTTGAATGAAATGTGTTTCGTGCGAGGAATCGATAAAGAAGCGTTTACCGAAAATGATCAAGTTTTGAATATAAGCAGGATTTTTCGGACGTTTTTCCGATTTTACAATCTGCGATATTGCACCGAATTTAATGTGTATAGATTATTTTCAAAAATTCATTTGGAATGACAATTAAATCAAAAACAGGCTTGACTATGGAAACGAATTGGATTAAAAACCCCCTGGTAATAGATTCAGAGATAAAACAAACAATACACGAAGATTAAAAGTATAAACAGTGTTGGATAAAAATAGCAGAGGGGTTTAAATGAATCAAGATTCATTGGAAATCAATTTAATAACTCTAACAAACTATTCCTGCAGGTAATTTAATTGAAACTCGAATGAAATTCCCGGAGTGGTTTTTCGCAGCAAAAGGAAAACAAAAAGTAACATCGAAACGGCATCGTTTTTGCGAATAATCGAGCGAAAAGTCCCGTTCAATCTGTGCGACCGCGACGGAAAAAGTTGAAAATAACCCGGGAAGCAGATATTGAAAAGTTGTGTCAAATATATCGGTAACTCGTAACTTTCCCATCAATTCGCAACAGTTTCGGAATAAAATCTCCAGTCAACTAAAACGTATGGAATCGAACATGCACCGGCAACTTTTAGATTCCCGTCAATAGGCGGTTTTGAATATCTTTGAATTCGCTTCCGTCGCGTGATTGGTTATTTTAATAAATTCCGAATGTACCTGTGTAAAAAATGAGATCATTTACTTACCCCATTCGGTTAAAAATGTAGCTAATGTTCTGTAATACGCATTCATAATCAACACCACTATAGAGTAAATAATACTAGGCAGCATAACGTAACTTATGTATTCATCAGACTTTTTGCAGTAATCTTCGAGCCAGAAAGACAGTAACATTATGAAAAAGGCGGCAAGTAGGCATACAAGAACGATGGGAATCGATACGGCATACATCTAGAAAATATACGATGGTGTTAATTGTACCTGGATAATCAGAAAATGAGGTGAGTTTTACTTTCAAATAGGTCAGATAACGCGGGCTCTGCGGCTGAACTTTTCCTGATATAGCATCTATACCCATAGTTCCTCTAAAACTAGGTCTTGGTTCGTCCATACTTGTCATACCGATAGTTCCCCATTCGAAAGCTAATTCGTTGCTTTTCCTTTTCCATATCTAAAATTAAACCATTTGGCGATTTAATTAAGTAGGTACATAAAATATACCATTTTATAGTTCGTGCTAAATTTGTGCAGCAATAAACAGAGCAATGAAAGTATAAATTACAAAATCGTTATTCGATATTCGATATTTTCCCGGTCAATCTAATGAAAAATTATTCCCATTCTAAATAAATAACGATCGAAAATTTAAAGTCAACAGTTGAACGTCAATTTATTGCGATACTATTTCAGTAATTTATTATCGACTAATTAAATGTTGAAAATTTTTCTTGTTAATAAAAAATCATTTCTATGAAAACTAATTCAATAAAGACAGTGAGCCAAAATTAATAATTCAAAAAGGGAAAGCTTTAATTAATTCCGCACAAAATTTTAATGTCATTCCAGTTTATAATTAATTAGCTCAGTACATATTGGTACATTAAATAATTTAATTAAAATCTCAGCCTTATATTATTCGTTTTTAAAAGCTACTCTGCAAAATTTATTACTTCAGATATTTTATGTGTAACCGTTATGAAAGAATTGGTATAGTTCGATGATATTAAAATTGAGAAATTTCCGCAATTTCGATTCCACTTGACAATGCAGCATTAAATCCCTCGTGCGCCCCTTATCTAAAACTGAAATTCCCTTATTCAAGATATCGGCTTAAATCAACAGAATGTAATATAAGCCGTTAACTTGCAGACCGTGAGGGTGCGAAATTCGGGACGGCAATAAGGTCATGAGATTGCACGGTTGCATTAATATAATCCCTTACCGTATTCAATGGAGTATCATTGAGTTTTAACTATTAATACCCCCTTTAAGTTTTCATTTATTCGGATAACGCGATCAGATTTAGCGCCGTTACCGCTCTCCTTATAGAAACGGGAAAGCCGTTAAGTAAAGAAGCCCGATAGGAAAATTTCGCTATTATTTAAAATTCTTTTTAAGCGCTTCGGCGCCGTGGACATTTTCCGGCGCGACGCATGAATTATTAAAGAAGGGTTGTACGGAATGGAGTTCAGATTGTTAGCTGAAGTTGGCAGCTAAAGTTTCGTCAACTAATAGGTATGTTTGATTAATGTTGCCAAAGGTCAAGTTTGGTTTGGCAACTGCCTGAAGCTAGTAGAGTTATCAAAGTGAATTTAGCGTGACTTTAAATCAAATAATCAAATCGTCGCGCAACGCTTGTCCGAAACACATATCACCATCGTCAAGAATGTTACTTTCGGAAGGCCTCTCGAAGGCTCTTCAACTAACGCAAGAGTCGTGGAGTTGCCGTTGTGTCTACGCCAGAAGCTCTGCGACAAAACGGGAGAAGAACAAATGAATGCTTTAACTGTTTGTTAACTTCCTTTTGCTGCATGACATCCGAGCCCACATTGCGGCTCCAGATGTCTGAGACCCTCCCAAACTGTTTGTTCCTTTTACGTTTGTTAAATACGAGTTAATTAATATAATTTTAGTTAAACTGGGGCGAAGCGTCGTCAAACCGAAATGTTGTGAGGCGTATTTTTAACGTGTGTTGCAGTGACTTGCGATTCTATAAAGCTTTGTACAAGTTTACAATAACGTGTTTGTGAAAGACATTATTTCTCGAGACGTTTCGAATAATGAAATATTGTTGAGGCAAAACAAACATCAATGCACGTCACTAATGTCGTCATACATGCCGAGCTTAATACCTTCAGAATTTAATTTAATAATAACAAGGGATGACAGAAAATGTTAAAAAGAATCAGAATTATTCTCTTAGATTTCGTAAACTTTACAAAAGTTCAGCAACACTGCCTATACTTGCGACTTGGTAAATTATCGGTGACGCGTGCATTGATATTTGTTTTGCACCAACTGTAAGTAAAATTGCAATAAAAATAATTGCATCATGGTTCCTAAAAGATAACCGGTGCATATTTACATGTTTCGCATACGCTAATGAATCTGTTCTTATTACATCCCTATTTTCCTTCGGCTCTATTTTATATTATAAAACTAAACTGCACCTTCGGGATTGAAACTAGCAGTTAGCATTAAATTAGACGTTACTGCGAGAAAATACAATTCCTAATACCCATGCAGCGTTTGTTAAAATACTCTTTACACAAAAAGCTTCGTTTCGCACAAGTGGTTAGACGCATTCCGATTTATACGGCCTTCGAATGCTTTTCCAATTACATTCCGCGGTTTTTTTCCCCGAATGAAAACTCAATTAGTCCACTGACATTTTCTCTGTATAAAACGGCAAAAAAACGAGGGAAAAAAGATTGATCTGCCAAGTTGGAAATGGACACGATACCTATTCGTTATAAGCCGGAAAACGATCTATTATAAAAAGTTTCGAATTGTGATGTTCGCTGTAAACTCGTTCCATTTATCTTTATACTGCCGATGCCAATGGCGTAGGATGTTCACAAACTTAAAAAGCCCCCGAGCTGTAAAATTACGAAATATTATTTTACCTCTAGTAGCAACGTAACCCATACAACGTTAAACACGCAGAAAAAGGGTATCGTTTCTCGGGAGACCAGTAATTGAAGGAATCCCAGCACGACCGGTATGACCAAGGCGGAGGTGTAAAACCCCAAGAAAGCGAAGTACAACGTCACTGATTCGCCGAAGTAATTTTTAATTCGATCTGAAACAAATTTGCAAATAAGTTCTGTATAAAACTTTTCGAAATCGTTCGTTTATTTGCTAGCAATTTTTTACCAAATACAAACTACGGCTGAAAGCACATTTAGTACTCCTGTATACCGCGGAATCGGAGTGGAATATAAAAGAGCTAGGAAGAACTCAGTAAGATAAATGAGTTAAAATGAACGCGATTTAATCCAACAATTAGATTACGGAAAAGGAGTTTTACTCACAAAGATTCGTATGGAATAAACAAAAAACATAAATCGATTATATGCTTTTAATGCGAAAGAGCAATTATCTGATAATGAGCAAACCTAATCCGATAAAACCAATAATTGATATTTGTCCCTCTTCAATTAGAAATAAATATTTAACGTATCCGTCGACCAAACCTCAATTGTAATCTCGCCCGGAACCTATTACTCGTTAAACCATTTTAATGATTTTCATTAATAGACCGTTCGTAATAATTGAATTGAATAAATATGCTTGCATATTTCGCTCCACATTAATTTTGATATCGTTGATGTTTCAGATAGATTCCCATGCAATTATTTTCCCTCGGATTCGGAAAGGGGATGCTGTTGGATTTAATTGCGTTATTTTATTTCCGTTTAAAACAGTTATCGTTTCTGCTAATGGCAGTAAAACTTACTGCTACATCAGTTTTTCGCGCTTTATTAATCTGTCTTTCGCGCTGTAAAATTCGAGTTTATGCATGTAAAAACTACACGTATTTTAATAGTAAGGGAAGATATATTATGTGGTTTCTGTAATCTGATGTTTGCTCATGATTAGCATCGTAACTAGCTGAAAAAAAATGTTTGTTCACCATTGATTGCATTCCGTAATAAAAACAGTTTTATCATATTCGTTACGAGCATTTTTCAGGGCGCTTGTGCACGAAACGATTTTTATGCCAACGGTGTTAACAAGCGACAATTTATTTAATTATCGTCAAAGGGCGACATAATGGCTTGTTAACATGCACCAATGCCCATTTGCGTCTCCTGCGACCATCGTTATTGTGGTAATTAGAAACGCTTACGTTCAGTTCATCAAGGCAACTTTCCAGGATGGGCTCCAAAGCGCAATTCACTGGAAAGCACTACAGGTGCATGGTGATTGTAAAAGCTTCAAAAGGGAAAGGCTCGATAATGGTAATTGTAATTAAAACAATGTACACGTTATCCTCGCCGCTACACCATCACATTTAGGAGTATATTACGAAGACATAAAAACTTACGTGTAATATGGTAAGTAAAAAAATTCAGCTCGCGAATACATCAAATCTAATTAGAAGGGAGATTTGTAATCGATTGGACCTTGAACCCTCGGCTCATTTGGGCGGCTTTGTCGCGTAAGCGCGATTCCCGTTACGAATTCCGAGTGAACGACACCAGCACGTTTCGCCCAAAGGGCCCGAAATCTCGAGCCGACCCTTCTCGTTTTCTCGACTTTCCCTCAAATAAGCGCCGACCGGATGCGGATGAGAAGAGAGGATGCAAATGACTATGTTCAAACGGTAAAATGTGCGCGGTTGGCGGAAGCCCTTATCACGTGTTGTTCTATCTAGGTATAGAGATCACTATGACAGTGCTCAAAGGGACTCTAAATATCATCATAATGTGACAAAGTTGCAACCGCATCTGTCGCATGAGAATGGAATTATTGGATGCAAACTTGCCGCAAATGGCTGCTGGGCGAGCCAATATTTCCTGCTCGAAATAAATGCTTCCGACGAAAATGGCATTCTGAGTACAAATGGAGTGAAAAATAGCGAAGTAAATTTCCTGTTTTCGAACTAATTATGCTAAAATGTACTTACCAAATGGTTGTTTAGATTTTAATGTCATATACCATTCCTTGCTGAGCCTTTTCAGTGCTTCCGGCTCGTGTAGAGGATATACTTTGGTTACTATATTGGCGTTCTTGCAAACTTCTATAATTGATTGCCCAGTGTAAAGTTGACACTCGGGAAAACCGGGTATATGATTGTCTTCAGGCAGGGCTCTAATATTTTCCACTTCATGCCTAACTATCGTTTGACGCTCTGCTAAAGTAAACAGGTCATCCACGTGCGTGTCTTCCTTTAGAAAATCTTCCAGAGATTCGACTGAAAACTCCCTCATCACACCATTGGAATCTATCTTCGATAGCTCCATTTCCTCGGCGGCTTCTAATAATTTGATTTTCGTGGCCGAAATGTGGAGAACAAACGCCTGAAAATAGGAAATTGTGTACTACACCATCGCAAAGTGAAATGGTTGATAATATTGGCTTACATCTTTGGGATTCACGGGCTGTTTCATTACGATTAATTCTCCTCCTCCATCTCGCTTCTTGCCACGAATTTTTTCGACAAACCATCTCAGGGTGTTTAATGGTATGGTGGAAGATAATTGAATTACTAGGTATGTTGGAGGTAAGTTTGTATCATCGATATCACACGAGTCTTCATCAGCTACGTCTGTTACCACTATTTTTCTGTTGCTCATTTTTCCTGAAAATTCAAGTAGGTACATACATTGGTATTTCTTCATTACATAAAATGAATTAAGCAATTCTAATTATTTGGGAAAACAAAAATGGATATGGATTCATTGTATTGGTTCGAAAACACGAACTCTTACCACGTAAAGCCGCCAAAGTTTGATGGATACTCCATAAGCTTCTAATGAACGGGTCAGTTTTTTTTATTTCGTTCAAATAATCAAAATCATCTGATCCGTTGTCGGAATAATTTAAATTGGACGAAACCGAATTTATTTCACGAATGTCGAAATTTACGGGCCTACCAAAGCTTTCAAAAAGTTTAACTTGTACTTTCTCCATTAAACAAAAGCTGCAATGTTATTTGTTAGGTTCGAAAGTTTGCGATTTAATTGGCCGAAGCGTACTCTAAATTGTTCCTGAATTGTTTTACATATTGGAAAAAATTTCAAAAATTCGCGATTTTATGAAGGAAGTTAAGGATTCGTAAAATTAATATCAATTTCATAATGTGGCTTAAAAAGGCTTTAGGAAAGTTTAGAACAAAAATATTGTAGGTACTTACCTTATTAACAAACTAATTGAAGGTATAAAATATTTTTTAGTTGTGTGATAACGCTAATTCAAACTAGTAGCTGAATAGTCATTGATAATAATAAACTCATGTCATATGGTAATAAAGATATAGATACACCCAAAATTGCAAAATTTGCAATCAAATTTATTATTAATGAGATGATAAACTATGTAAATTAACTCTTTATCAAGAAAAAAACTTCGAAATAATAAAAAAATATTACTTCAATATTATAAGTAGACCAAAAAAGTATTCGTACAGTTGCATTATGTTCTGGAAGTCCGCGTTCAGTAAACAGAAACAAGAAGTAACTAGCAAATTAAAATCTACATTTCAAGACTATTCTTGCAATCATTAATTAACATTGTTATTAAAAATGTAAAATAAAAAAAAAACGAAAAATGTTTGCTTTATCCCCAAAATAAGTATTCGTACAGCAACGTTTTATCAATTTCTTCACTCTGTAGATATTAAATTGTTTATTGTTTTCGCCGGTATATTAGTATTAGGTTGAGCTCCTAGTTCTGTTTTCAAAATAATTCAAGTTTACCTTAAAATGCCTAGAAAAACTGAAGAAATAGATGGTGACTTAAAAAAGTCATCATCCATCATTTTATAGAAGGAAAATAATATAAGGAGATAGGTAAAATTGTTCAAAAAACACATATTACAGTTCAGTACATTGTGAAAAAATATAAATCTACTGGTTCCGTGGAAAATAAGTCAAGATCGGGAGGTACTGCCAAGTTAACTCAACGAGATCAGAATTTCATTTATCAAAAAGTTAAAAAAATTCCCTTTGTAAGTGCTCCATACATTGTTTCTGAACTGAAATCCAGTACATGGCATAAGATCCATCCGGAAACTCTTCGATACCACATTAAGCGATTAGAATATAGAGGAAGAAGACCTGCTAAAAGCCAAGGATAAATAAGAAAAATCGAAAGCTAAGAGTGGAGTTTGCTAAGCGTTACATTAATAAACGTTTAGAGTTCTGGAACCAGGTTATATTGTCAGATGAGAGTAAGTATAACATTTTTGGATCGGATGGAGCCAAATCTGCCTGTTAATTGTTTTTTCATTTGTATATTTATTAAACGGATAACTACACGTATAATGATTATAATACGAGTGTACGAATACTTTTTTGGTATACTGTAAGTAGGTTTACAATGTAGATATTTTTTCAAAATGTCAAATATTTACGTAGGTACTTTCCGTGGAAATTTTTTTAATTTTTGTTAGAAATAAGGATTAATTATCATTATCTTTATTTTTCTGGATTAATTCGTTAATTTCAATAAATAGATTTTTTTGGTAAATCCAAGGTTTTATAATTTTATTAAAAACATTTTGAATTTTTAAAATGTGTAATATAATAGTGCTGATTTACTTAAGTTCAACATGACCTACATATTTCCTAATTTAAATCGAGTTAGAAAACTGTATGTGGTTAATGCGCTGGTAATAGGATTTGGGATTCAATAAAAAAATGTTAGTGATGAGGAACCTGTTTTATTTTAGAATTTGTCCTTACCAAACAATAATCAAATTTATGATTAATTTTGACACTCACTCGGAACACCTATTTGCTTAATAAAAGGACGAATGCTCCGCTTATTAACAACAGATATGTATAATGTGATTGGTTCAAAATTATAACCAGAATTAAATGCTTTAATTTATTTTAATTCATGTCTATTTTTAACCTTGGTTTAGGTTGCAATACAAGCGCGTATTTACCTATTGTAACTCCTCTAGCACAGACACACTTCACATACTACTTATTTTAACACGTATTCGAAAATTCGATTGTACTTAAAAATCGATTTTTTTTTTCGCGAAATTAGCCGAATTGCTTTAAAAATAGTATCATATATGCTTGTACGAATAGATAATCGAAATGTTAATTAAAATAAAAGTATAAAGAAGCCTATTTAGATCATAATTTCCAACAAACTGTATACGAGATATCGATTAAGAATTTAGTAGCGAATACCAAGTGAATACTTTATAAATCAAAGAATTTTTCCAAAATTTCGTACACATTGCTCCATCTAACAGCGCAATTTCAAAATGACATGCTTTCCTTTATCGATTACTTTCTGTTGAAACAGATTTGCTTGTGTTAAAACACTGAGTTGCATAAAGATGTCTCTACTAGTCCCTTTAAAATCGATAGGCGCGATTTTTAAAATTACGCACGACTAATTATTTTTAATTTTGAAAAAAACTACACTCTCTAAAGCAATTTATACTTACTCGTTTTATGGAGACATCTCTATAAAATGTGGTAATACAATTTTCATATAATTAGGTGTATTATTTCGAAAGGACCATAAAGTGTAAGTTCAAATTAGTGCAAACTCCGAAAGTGATAAAATATGCTCGTTATGCTGTAAGGTTTCGTCTCTGAAACGCTCTCCCATCGGATGTACTGCTTTAATTAAATGTAAATTCGGTGCGTTCACTTCGAAAACGAAAGGCCCTTTGCAACCTGCCATTAAATGGGATTCGAATCTGTGTTGGGGTATATGATTCATAATTGAAGTTTTTGCTGTTTATTCGCGGGTGAAATTGTTCAAAAGAGCCGAAGCTATTGATATTATTTTAGGGAACCGTTTATTAATTAGCATCAAATGTCGGTTAGGCGACATTTAGAACTGTTTATCAAGAAAAGTATAAATTTATTGGTAAATTTTCAACAGTTAGAGTACGTTTCTGCACCGTCTATAAAATATGCGTAAAAATACTTACTTACATTATTAAAATCCTAATTTCTTAATTTGCATTTACGTCTTAAATAAATAATTGATTTAAAATTATGGAACATTGCTTTTCAACAAAATAGATATGTGCATGTCATTGTCAGGATGTAATCATTCGCAAGGAAACAAAAAAGCATAAAGTTTGTCAAAGTTATTTAAATTTTCGTTTGTCACTTCAAATCTGCTCGAAATTGCACTTTGAAATTAAAATTATTGACTTCTGCTTCTTCTTTTTGCTTGACTTATTTTTATTTTAAACCTTCCTACTAAGAATATTTGACTGTTGAAATATTGATTGACGTTTTGTCATTTATTTGTATAAAAATAATGTGGTAGTTTATCAGAATTTCTCGTTTATTTTTTATAAATTTTAGCAACAAGAGTGATTCAAAATGTGGTACGAACCACTTACAGAAGTCATCTCACTAAAAAATTGGATTATGTATATTTGTGCGTATTTTTGCGTAGTATTCATATTATTTTGTACGATTTGTCTAAGAGGTAATTTTACTATGAACATTTAATATTAATATTTTCTGCAGCTATTTGTTAACAACAATAAAATTAACACTAATATACCAATTATTTTAGATGCAACAAAGTACGTGGTAAAATGGACCAAGATTACTTTTTATCCTTCGGAAAATTCCGAAAAAAATCAGGAAACCCGAATAAAAAACAGGCAAAAAGAAAAAATTCGTAGGCGTCATTAAAACATGTGTTTTCTTTTTAATAAACATAAATTTCCTAGAAATAATTTATTTCATGACAGGTCTCTCACATCGAAATATTCGTAAGAGATGTAACGAAATTATTTTTTTGTTGAAACAATATTAAAAAGGCACTAAAGTTAGACGATTTCGAACATCTAAAAAGTTACAAATGGCGAACCGTGAATATAAAGGTGCAACAGTGAAAGTCGTAAACATCTTTCCCAAGCCGTAAAAAATTTATTTAATCCCTGGATCATCATTTGAAGTTCCCAGAACACTACGTGGACGCACCAAATTTAGTCTCAATGGTATATTTGCTCCAGACAGAAGAAATTAAACACAAATTAAATATATTTCCTAACACAAAATATCTTCTAAACTAGATATCAAAGTGTTGTTTCTTTTATTTATTTATTTTATTTTCCACAAACATTGAAATAACATTCCGTATAGAACCTCGTTGATTTTTTTCTTCCAAAACCTACCATTTGGGTTGTTTTATAATCCAATTTTCACGGAGATCCCCAACACTACTCAACGTATCAAACTCATACTACACTTTTATTAGAACTGGGAATTTCTAAATCAAAGACAAGTCAGTGTTTTCCTTCTCTTCGTTTTATTGCCACCGACTTCTGCCTTTCTTTTATTATTACTACTATTTTACGAGGATTTTATGAGAGAAATGAGAAAGTCTTCCTTCCAGTATTTATCAGTTTCGTTGGTTTATCACATTTTACTTAAAAAATTTGATGAAAGTGCAAAGTAGGATTGAAAGGAGAATGAATAAATAAAACGAATCCTGCCTCGCCTGTAAGCAGGGTATTTACGGTAAGCATCCAGGAACTAATGACACCAATTATTAGTAAATACAGCTTTCAAACTGTCGCGGTAACCAGATTTGCTGCAACACAAATTTTCCCAAACTACAACCGTTTTTGTGCTATTGATTAACAATACACGTCACTTCAGGGTAACTTTTGCCTTGTTAACTTCCCGTGTAATGGGCTAGACTTAGCCTGGAACGATACGATAAGGAATAGTTTGAATTATAGGAGCTTCGATGTCACTTAGTTTCTTCCAATTAAATAATCAAATCCTTTATTATACGACCGAGCGAAACGAAATAATATATTAAAGTAATAGTAGGAAAAGTTTTGTGAATTATACACTTAATTTATTATTAGGTAATAAGTGCTCCCAATGATGTACTTCGGAATAACTGCGAAGTTTTCCTGCACGATTTAATTCGGTTTAGTTGAGTAAATCCGGGCATTAATATTAAGGACAAGTGGTTACGTCGTATGCACCAATTTCAAGTTGCCAAATAGTTCGGAATTCAACTCCCCCGTTCCCCAAAACCAGATAGTAATTTTGCGTTAGTATGAATGGACCGTGGGTTTTGATACGGTCATAAATCGATTGTCAGATGAAACTCGGAGTTTCGAGAGCAGCATGCATCGATGTTACTGGCTCTTGACACAGGCAAAAGTGACGAACTTCCCAAAGTTTACCAGCTTGTTTGAACGTATACCTATATAAAGGAATTATTCCAATTCAAGTGTATAAGCCTAATGAAATTCCTGAATGAGATATCAGCGTATATTGCTAATTTTTTTATGTTCTGAAGCCTAAGCCAGAAAATAATAAGTCAAACGAAAAGCAATCTTAAAAATTAGTTACAACAACGTTTAAGAGCAGATTTACAAGAGCCAGAACTTTAAGAAAACGTAAGTTCTTGGAAAAATTGCCTCGCCGTGTTTCTGCAAAAAGAATTTATGTGGTGCTCCCAGCCGTTGATAAACCTTAATAGATGTTTCCCGTACATCTTATTCACTCCGGTTACGATGTTGTCTGAACATCTCGAGGATTTTATTACGCGATTGTCTGCTCCTTTCGCTCATTCATTCGCGAATTGTGAAAGTCGCTATCCGAAGCTCCGTGCCTTTTCAGGCTGCGGACACTTCTGTTTATTAAATTTAAATTGCTCGGTTGCCTCCGACGCGGAATTGCTTAATTCCAAATTAAAATTTCCTAATCGACCCCAGTAATGCTGCAATTCGAAGATTAAACGTCACTTTGTTCCATTCTGCGGTGGAGCATTTGAAATATCTTGTCGTTTTTATGCCGTTATTAAACTGAAGTATTTCGACGCGCATCTCCTGGCGAATTTGATCTTTTAATTTCGCTGCTTTGGAAGCAATTTTGTAAATTTTCAATAACGGCACTTTACAGAAAAGCACGAAGGTTTAAAGATCTTGCATGAAAAGTGTTTAATGCTGCTGGTAAGATAAACTATCTGCTCCTTTGGAATTCCTTTTTGTCGTTACCTATATTTCTCGCGCGAGCAAGCGGATTCCGTTCGGATTAGATCTAGCCTCGAATATCTCGCAGAGAATTTTGAAACTTAAATTAAAGCCCCTTTGTTCTATCCCTCCTCGCATTTCTTGTTATTCCAGTGGCAAATAAATTTTTCTATTTCATAACGCTGGCGAAACCAGAAACAAAGAACGGGCCGATGTCACCTGCAGATTGCTCCTATCAGCCCCACTCATAATTGCCTGTCAGGAATCGTGATTTTATTACGGAACACACAAACGGGACCCTCGCGATAATTAGCAGCGAGTATTTCATCTTACGACCTATTAACGGTTTCGTTATCTGTTTAACACTTTCGTCGACGTCGTTCGAATATAATGAAACCGCAAAATCTAAATTACTTTACTCTGGCGATGCTCAGAATTCCCTTCCGGATTCTTTGCGTTTCCTAACAATTTTAAAACTTTACAATACCAAATTATTTTTAGTCGACTTTATTTACACCAATTATGGTATTTAGGAAGTATGATGCATGTTACAAAAATGCTCTATTAAATCTTATTATTAATGAGTGTAATTTAAACGTAATAATTTCTATGTAATTCTTGGATTGCTTCGAATGAAAGTTGAATTCAGTTTCTTAATTAAAGGTTGTTTAAATATGAAGTTTCGAATGTATTTTTGTAAGATGGAATTCGACAAAGCTGCAAACAGTAAAGCGCGTTCGCCGGAATAGCTCTGTACATAGAGAAAATTAGAAAACTTCGGAAAGTTGTAATTCACACCCCTGACCAATTTATTAGAGCGCCGACTATTCCAGTATCAAATTCAAATTAGTTTCTGGAAATCGGCGAATTCACGAAGAATTTCCAACTACCAGTTTCGCGTCTGTCGAAAGCGTTCGACCATTTAATAATTTATTAGTAGAAGAGTTTTTTTTTTATTTTAATCAAGTTTTTATTTATGACCAAAGAATAATGTACTGGTAATAAAATCTCGTAAAACAGCTCTGATTGTTTGCTTCCCGGCTATATTCAGATCGTTTGAAAATTATGTCGCATTTTGCGGTTTGCAATAAACCACCCGAATATCTTCGATATAAATCATGATACTAGTATACGAGTACAATACGATTTTAGTTGTATTTATCAGAGCGTTTGGAATGTTTTACAACGCTCCCGCAATTTTCATGGCGCAGTAACTTACCCTTAACAGCCTCAACCCAATATTCAAGGGCATAATGAAGACGCATGGTGTCCGCCGATGATGCATTTTTTACGCCTTATTACTTCGTTTAGAACGCGCAATTTTACCACAAAGTTAAAACAAAACGTAGCCTATAAGATTTTCCGATGAATTATTCATGAAGTTCAAAGTTGAAATAAATATTCGAGTACCTACATAAACAACATTATTGTTAGCCGGATTTTCCTACCGAATGCCTTCGGCAATTTTCCGCAGGCGCCATCTCACACCCTCGTCCGTTCCCAAATTATTTAATACCGTCTAATAATTCCTTTTTAAAATCCGCCGAGAAAATCCCGAGACCAATTTCAAATTAACTTTTTTCGGTCGAACGGGACTCATCTCGAATCCCCTTGATATCCCATGCAAGAGATCTTATGACCCTCTGGGAAAAAATAATCCCCGCCCTCTTTATCCCGAAAAAGGAGTGATTGAATAAATGAGATTTTCTCGAATGCCGCGGTTAGAGTCGCCTTTATGTTTTATTCATTATCTAGGTAGTTCTTTTTTCCACCTCACTGTTTTAGCCTTTAGTCTGGAATCTCGAAACATTTTGGGGACTCTTTTATTTAAGACGTAGGCTACATAATGCGACGCACAGGTTTGTTTATCCTTTTTTCTGTGTCCCAGGGGGAAGTGTTAATATAAATGATAATTAGATGTGAAATATTTGACAGCACGTCTTCGAACGCAACGAAATGGAACTAATAAAATTTTTTCCTTGGACGGGTTATTTTTGCCAAACCATCGGGAATTTTACAAGGAATTAATTCCACGTGCCGCGGTAATAATGGAAAACGTAATATCGCAATTGATGAAATTTTTGTATCTTATCGGAGCCCATTCGGGCGGGCTGCGGCCGCATTTAAATCCGGGCGAGCATAGAAAGTGCGACAAGAGATGGGCAATAAAATCCTCCAACTTTCTACATTTACACATCATAATCCTTACAGCATCCTTCCCGCAGCCCAGCGTCACGCCAGCGGCAATGGACCTTTGCTTGGCTTGTTTCGGCCGCCTCGACAGTGCTGGACTAGCAAATTAAGGATTTCCGACAGGTTAAGCCCAAGAAAAGTGGAGTGGTTTCCGGTTTTTATGCCATTGTGTTGTTGACAATGTAATTATCACGTTCTGGAATGAATTAAATACCTGATGTTTTATAAAAATAGGCTCTGGTGTGATTCTTTTTTTGAATTTTGAATGAGGAAGGAACAATCAAAAATAAATAATTGTTGATAATAGTTTTTAATTGATAATTTGTTTAAGAAAATAGCGAGTGGGTCTGATTCTGGTCTGAGATGTCCTAGTCGTGCCCTTTTCATGCGATTGTGTCGACGACAAAAAGGACAATCGCACGAAATTTCAGCGGATATCTAACCCTCCGGGCTTTCAGGACAGATTTTCGCATTTTAGCCAACTTTACATTATTTTTTTATAAATCCAGTCCTTTTTCCATTAAGTAAGACTTAGAGGTTTGCCAACCACTCGATAGGGTTTAAAGTACCGTAAAAGAAAGCGGTTTTTTTATTCAATAATTTGGGGTAATCCTTTTTTCATATTTCCTCGTGTTCGAGAACCTTCCTGGGAGATTTTTTTAAATTCCTATAATCTTCTTATTATAGAAAAAAGTTGTGTTATTTTATGCTCGAATTTAGGGATATCATCAAGGATCAAACAAGCAGAATCATTAGACGAGAATTTTCGAGGAACTTTCAGGAAACAGTTCCAGTAGAATTTCACTAGTTTCGGATTACAGCTAGCGAACTAATGTGTGTTCCTTCTTTGCGAATTTCCGTACCATGTTAGTTCCTTCCAAACAATTAGTTTCTCTAACAAAAACGATATACCTATGTACCTTCATCAGTAACGTTTTGTGTTGGTTAACGTATAACAAAACGAACAGAGTGCTTTCAACAAACGACAACACAGCCGAAGAGAGTGTTAACAAGTCCGAATTTTCGGGTGTACGTTTTGTACATTTTCCGGTCAATGCGGTTGCATCCTTACAAAATCAATATGCAGAGAACAAGCAACGTATGGCCTAGACAGGGAAGGATAATATTATTCATCTGGATATGTTGAGATGTACTGATATATAAACCGTTTTAGATAAATATTTTATTGTCTGATAAATATGCAACTACTATCAATTAATTTATTGTAGACATTAAAAATGCACAACCGTTTAATTTGTTTTTCAATTTTATTAAATCGTTTATAATTAAATAACTGGCGGTGGCTATAATTAAGTATTTTCATTTCCGAATAAAATTGCATTTAAACTACAATCGACTGGACACTCCGAGCGTAATTGAATTTTATTTGGGTCGATCGGTCACTTTATTAAAGAGTCGTAAACGATAGATGCAGCTGGTTAAAATAAAACGAATAAGTCTTTTGAATAATAAATTCATTAAAGAAATTTTCCTCTACTTACACTTTCGCTAGATCAGTTGCTATTGCAGAGAAAATAAGTAAAAATAAATATAGTGGTTTGCTTTTGATTTTTCCTCTTATTTACTACTAACGTGATTAATTCGGGACGAAACCCTGAACAAAGAAAAACGCGCTGCTGTAACAAAGCGGCAACTCCCGATAACTTTATTAAAGTTACGAGTTTAGTTTGGGAGCGATAAGAACGCCCGTTCAAAATTCCTCCTCCGTCGATTATTACCGAAATTAGAGTCACGTTAAACCTATATTAATATCTCGGGGACATTATTAGTGATTATCGGCGCACGATTACCAATAGTGTTTATTTACACATTTATCTTGTAGAGGAGGTTGCAAGATTTATGTGGCTTATCGGCTTTAGGAACGCGCTCTAACTTTATTTACCGAATTTGATAACATATTTTTTAAATCGAATAGGTAATAGGTAATAGATAGATATTTGCGTTTTATGTTAGTATGATATTTATTTAACGTGGGTACCTATCTATTATAAATAGTAATTCTAAGTAAATGGAGTTTTAGGCTCTAAATAATGGCTTCGGTGGTTTTCATTATGCCTACAGCATTATTCTCCTTGGCGATTAATTTCTCATGGGACTCCTAATCTATTATTATACAGGATGTTTCCTAAAGACTTGTAGAAAATGAAGTAACTATGCACATACCAAAAATGTAAAAATACACTTTGTTTTAAACTAGACATTATTCAATAGCCTTTAGAGAAGGAATACAACCTTTAAATGCACTTGCAAATGTTTGCACATATTGGGAAAGTTTTGGGGAAGTAAACAACCTATTTAAAAATAATTAGAGGATCGACGCCGTTAGTAGTTAAAATAATTTGTGTACATAGCACTAAATAGTTCGTAAAATAATTAAGCGAAGGTTACATGTTGTTTGTGATTCAATTCGCCTCAGGCTCGATGCTCTCAGGCAGTACGAGTTCAATATTTGTCGTTACGACACCGCTGACCTCCATAGTTATGAGAGCATTGTATTATCTCAATTTAACAAATGCCTGATCTCTCATTTCGCTCCAAAAATTACCCAGTTGTAGTTTGTATGAACCAGACAAAAGTGCTTTGTTTTGTTAGTATTTAAAAAATACCGCGATCATTCGAGAGTTAAAGGTAAATTTGTTAGTTTAATATATTTCATAAAAATATCATTTATTATAAAAAAATCACCTCTAAATTAGAATTTTTTTGCATAAGTATTTTTTGCTTGCCATTAAATGAGAAATTAACAGAAAAAAATTGAGAATTGGGAATTAGAAATTAATTACCAATTAAACAGGTTTCGTGAAAAGGCAACGTGCTTAAGAGGCTAATTAAAAATAAAAGTATTGGCAATTATGGAGGGTGATTTCTTTGATTTTTACTTAGAAGAAATGAAAGTGGCTTGTCTCAGAAAATTATACCCTAGGGGTATTAGTGTAATGTCGAGACTGGTTTATTTTGAATTTAATGAAAGACATTTATGATTTTAATGAGAGGCAAATAAATTTTTGATAATTTCTCGGCTTCATTGAATTTTTTGTATAAAAATAATATCTAATCGGATGATAATTGATAAAAATAAATGTACTTAATCTTATTTGGTTTATTACGAACTTCAAATTACAAGTTTCTGATGGAATTTCGCAAACTTTTTTCTATGAATCTATAAAAGTAGCTACTCAATAATTATTTTTATTTACTGGGCGAAATATTATCTGCATTTTATTCCGCGAAGTAATATCAGTAGAAATATTTTATTTTATTTCTGTTTTTATCATTAATTAGCCTTTCAATTCCATTTATTTTTAGTAATTTATATAACTTTGATCATTGCTTGAAATGTTCATTATAAAAACACTAATTAACAACATTTTTCTGCTGCTATATTTGTATCAATCGCCTTTAAAATTAAACTCGTTATTATCAATTTTTGCAAAAATTTTAATTAATTTTGTATCTTTAATAAACTTATTCTTAGCTTTCACATATGAATTCTCTCCACTTGTTTATAACAATTTAGAAAAATAATAACAAATAGAAAATTAATTCAGGAATTTAACTTCTTCGTCTTCCTAAAAAATAATTTTGCTGGTGTAATTAATAATTAAAATGACCTTTGAAAACAAACGCCACAGGAAAAATGAATTGAACGTGATTTACTACTAACTATAATGGTAATGTAGAAGTTAATAGTCAGTAACAGATAGTGGGTTAGACTACAATATTTTCGGCCTTGGTTAAACTGAATGCAGTAATTTATTTTCAATTTTAATTTCATTTTAATTGCTATTTGAAATGAATTGTATGTGCATATATTAGGCCTAATGAATATTGCTATATAATTTCAGATGACCGACGACGTACTGACTGAAGAACAAATAGGAAAAATATTTACCAAATGGAGCAGAAACAAAAACATGTCTTTTATATCTTCATCTATAGCACCGCTCAGCAACCAGCTAGAAGGACTGATAGGAGAGCAATACTTTTTAACCATTACATATGAAGATGACAACAAAACAAGCCATGTTCGATTTTTCGTGAAGATTATATCAAGAGAAAATCCTGTTATGTATAACATAGCTAGAGAAGCAACAATGTTCGAAAAGGAAGCATTCTTCTACAACAGCTTCATACCAGCTTTAAAGAGCTTTAATTTCAAATGCGATTATGTAGCAGACAGTTATTTTTGCGAGTCTTCTGCAGTAGTATTAGAAGATTTATCAGAGAAAGCTTACAAAGGTTTCGGGAAATCTGGGTCCCTAAATTTGGATCACTGTAAGATTTGCTTGAAAACATTGGCCAGGTTCCATGCTGACGGTATTTTATACCAGATATTAAAATCGAAAGAGAGCTCTAAAGAATACAGTTTAACGCAGGATTTACCGGACATATTCGAAGAATCGTTGCTTGAAAAGCAATCTTCGTTGTACAAGTATTACACGAATTCGAGCAAAGGTTTAATACGCCTGGCGAATTTGCTGCTTGAAAACGGTACAGTGGAATATTTCTCAAAGTCATTGTTGGAAAAAATTCAATATTTGATAGGCAACGATTGCATTAATAACAATTTTAAATTAACAATAACGCACAATGACTTATGGACTAACAACTTCCTCTACCAGTACGATGAAAATAACCTCGTCAAAGCCTGTAAAATCATCGATTTTCAAACGATAAGTTTAAAGCCTCCTGCATATGACGTTCTAACGTTTCTCTTCTTAAATACCCGCAGGAAATTCAGAGATGAATATTTGACGCAACTGTTGGATTTTTACTATCAATGCATGTCTGAATTTGTAGAAGAACGAGACTTCGATGCGAACGATGTATTTAGTAAAGAGGAATTTTATTCCTCCTGCGACTATCTCACGGTGTATGCAAAAATACATTCAGCCGTTGATAGGAGTATAACTCTCATTCCCGAAGAAATGTTTCTTAAATCAGCTGCATCTGATGAGAGCTTTTCTAATTTCTTATTCGAAGGGCGCCCGGAATACATGCTGGAATCGTTCAATACGTGCGAGTTGTTCAAAGAGATCATGACCGAAGACATAGTAGAGTTAGAATCACTTTTAGCTGCAAAATAATGTCTAATTTATATTTGAAAGATAAAGTTTGTTGTCGAGGATTTCTAATTGGAAACTGAGATCTGGTAGTGCAGCGATTACTTTTATGAAATTAAAAGAAGTTTATGAAAGTTTTAGTTTATTTTCAGCTTGCTTCTTGTTGGTAAACTGCTGTTACCGAGTTTCCTGACGTATAATTGAGTTGTAAAACGATTTAAGGGAAATTTGAAATATTTCCTTGATTTTTACTTGGATTTAATTATTAGGTGTAATTATTCAGATCTCACTAAATTTACACGAAACTTAAAAGTAAAAAAAATAAGTATTATCTACTAGTATTAGCGCTCAAAGCGATTCCCTGCTTTAGTTTAAAAAGTTGATGGATTTTATACTATATTTAACTTTTCCTATACGCGTACCTATAAAAGTTTTGTATTATGTAACCATAGCTTTTTAAAACATTTTATGTTTCATTTATGTTTTGTATTTTCCTGTTTGAGTATACTGACAAAATATGATACATTTATTGTTTTATATTGTAGAGTGTGATTAATATTAGCTATTTATTTATGATAATGTAAAAAATATTTTTATATTAATAATTAGTTTTTAAGCTTTTTGTAAACGCTAAATACACACATTCGTATTTTATTAATTGTGTAAACTTTAAAGGACATAATGGTTAATAAAATGTTCTATATATTTTTTATTCTTCGCATGTTTACGAAACGATTTCCAAGGCTCCTTGGGCTAATAAAACGTGTGGAAGTCACAAATAGGCAAATATTGACCCGATAGATTTCCAGGAAAAGCTTTTCGCATCAAATTAGAGTCGCAACAGAACCACTGAATAACATTGGATTTCGTCACGAATAGGCACAATGGAAAAAAAGTTTGTTTCATAATTCAATATATAATTTCAGTAATTATAAAACTTCTAATGCACCTCATGCGCTTGTTAGTGTACGTAGAAAAATGTAATGTAAAAATATTACACAAATTTTTAACAGTAAACGAAAACTGAAAATTTAGGTAAAAGTAAAAATTTTCATCGAGGCACAATATTCATATCAAAGTAATTTCATGCAATTTAATGTGTTAGTGTTCCAAGTAGTAAAATTAAGGTGAAGTTTAGAAGTTCTCTATGCACCTGAGTGGAAACAACCATAGAAATTTAATGAGTTAAAGTAGCAATTAACGCAAAGTTTAGAACTAAATGTAATTGAGAATAGATTATGCAATTGTTATTAACAACTTGGAGTCCTAAGTTTTGATATAACATGACCTGTTGTCCGTTATGTTGAAGCTAAGAAAAGTCAATTATAAATTAGAAAATGCATCTTTTCAATTGCTTAATCGAAGGTAACTAAAATTATTATGTGAGACTAATTCATAATACACATCACATAATAATGTGATGTGATTTTACAGTATTTGTGAGAATAAAATTGAACTAGTTTTTATACATAAATCCACTAATTAGGTAGGAAACTTCATCAAATATGATTACCCAAGTTTCAACTGATTTTACAAAATATACCTACTTTCGCAAAAGTTTTAAAAAGGAAAACATTAATCAGTTCGTATAGGCCTACGCACATCATCTAAGCATTCATCGAGCCGAGTTTAACTTAGAAAATCCAAATTTTTAATTTGCAAAAAGCGAAATTTTCTTCCAGTAGGGCAAAAATAATTTTAACGCGCAGGTGGAAGTTGCGCAAAGGAATCGCATTTTCGGACCGCCACTTCGAATGTTGAAACTTCAACCGAACTCAGTTTCGCGCGTGTTTGATGACGTGTGCACCACCGCCGCCAGTTTTCCCCGGGAAACTCCGCGCGAGCCGAAAAATGCGCCGGAAAATTTCGAAAACCGCCCGGGAAAATTTTTGACGATTCCGCGAATTCATACTAACATCGGAGTTGGACAAAATGTGACCTAACTGAACAGTCTAGGGGAAGTTGGGATGAGTTAATTGAAGTTGTGCTGTATCCATAATGACTGAAGTTTGTGTCTTGACGTCTTTTAGTCGCTCTCTGCATGATGAAGTAGTAAAGTTAGTGTAAAAATATTAAATTAATTTGCGGTGTCAGTGCTTTGTGGTGTAAATGTTTCGGAATAAACTCATTATTGTCACGATGAGATTTAATTGTAGCGTGTTTTGACGAAGTTCTTAAGGTACTTATATCATTTTATTCTTCCCTATTAATCCCTTCAAAATAACGAAAAAAAGAATCCTTTACACTGAAAAAAAATATCTTCCCATTACATCACAAATTGTTAATAAATATGAGGGGATAAGCAATATCCCCAATGATGATCTGAAAATTCTCCATCAAAATATTCCAAGGAATTTACTCCCGAAGTTATAAAAAAATGTTCGCCGCTGCATGTACTTCAATAAAGATAAACAAAGGATACCGAATAAGCCCTTTCCCCACATAAAAATCGCCGGACCAAAATGAAATCAACTTCTATCTTTAAGAAGTGGAAGTTTCGCTTTTAGAAGGTCTCGGGTTAGTGGCTATATATTCTATCGTCACAAATGGGATAAAACAAGCCTTAATATTTCTAGGCCAAAACGTTAGATTACTGTTGGGGCTATAAAAAAAGAAGTTCTGATATAGTAAGAAGTATGGGCATGATGAAAAACGCGTAAATCTTTATTCCGAGACAATGTAACAGCTGTGAAGAAACTGAACACTTCATATGTACCTAACTTTTCAGAATTATGAAGTTGATAATAAATGTAATTGATTATCTAAAATTTTAAATTGCTGCAGGTAATTTGAAACAAGGCCGTGATGAAGTAAGCAAAAATGAAAAAGATGGATTATTGTGGAGTGAAATTATATCCCATTTGGTTTTCGTATTTAAGTTTTCCAATTAAGTTTTTAATATTTTATTGCTCATTATAAGTTTCTCTAAGTTCGTATCTTCCTAACTTTCGAAATAACCGCAATGGTAGAATGTAAGTAATACGAAAATGCCCGTTTTGGTTTCGAGATTCCGCTTAAAAGAAAAATATTTACGTAGTCAAAATGACTATAGTGTAGTAATTTAAAATTAAAATTGGGAAGAATCAAAGGATTCGCTGCAATGTTCAACGAAACGCATTATTTATTGTTCCTTATTACGTTTTCAGCGTTATAACTTCCATTTTCAGCACCGTAATTTTCTATTGTTATTTGACAAAACTCAATTTTCGTTTCGCTTCCATTTCTCTATAGAACAAGTTAGCACTTTTCTGAATGATACTGGTACTTAACAGTGCAGACAATGCAGAGGCTGTCTGAGTAAAAATGAACAAGTCGCTGTTAATTTTTCATTTTTTTATACCTCACAATAAACCGAGCTTGAAGTGTATTTATTTCATCTATTAAAAAGGAAAATGTGAACTAAAGAAAATGTTCTCATACAATTATTTATCATGCTGTTGAAATTTCGTTCAATTTCTATCAACATTTCAGTCAAATTACAACCAACATTAACAGTTTGCCTCGGCGGTAAGCTATTGGGTATTTAAAACCACAGGATGGCGGAAGATTGCGTGTATTTGGTTTATAATTCGATTAGCAATTGGCCACAATTGCAGTCGAACGAATCAATTGCGAAGGGAGAAATGAATTAATAACAAATATTAAACGATGTACCTACCAGTTCTTGTTGCAATCACGTTATTGTGCATTGTTTTGTTTACACCATATAAATATAATTTGTCTAAAAAATTGATTACAATGTTCATCATGTAAATATAATTAGTTTAAAAAGTTGATGGAAAATTGCCGATACTTTCACAGAAATTTACGAGAAAGAGTTTATTTACAGCGTTTAATTAAAAAAACTGTACAAATATTACCATTAAACCATGTTATTACACTGCCGTGTTATTTGCCAGAAAATTGTCTATCATTCTCTACATATTCTTGAAATGTGTTCGGTATAAGCGCATATTTCAGAGAATGAAAGGAGAGGAATTCTAATTTTCAAATGAACATTATCGCCGGAATTATAGTAATTCAAGTCTCCAGACGTGCAATAATATTCATTGCTCTGTTCGGTGCTTAATGGGATCTAAATTCGCTCATATCATCCTGTTGGAAGTTATTTAAAATTCTCAAGTAGGATGGCATTTACAAAATTAAATTTAGTTTCGGCACTATAATAAATGAAAATACAAAATTAGGCACGTAGGTAGCTAATCTACGTATATTCATAATCCTAATGGGTTGAATTCCAATCTTGGAATATTTACCTATCAGATTAGGGCATATATTATTTATAGCACTTTCTATTTCTGTTTCAATGCTACAATTATTATTTAAGTCGGAAAAAAAACGTTTTATCGCCAGGTTTATATATGGAAAAATCGTTATGTATTTTAGATTGAAAGTGTAGCATGTTTTATTCATTTCATTTGGATATATTGACACGATATACACAATTATAATAGCATTTTAGATTATATTTACCAAGCAATATAGGTAATTACTTTTGTTGTTATTAAAATATTCTCAATTCGACAATTATCTAACTACTGCAATTATTTCTGATATAACTTTATTAGAAGAGGAAAATATTGTAAAAAAATTTTAAACTTTCATGTCCTCAGTAGTTTTCCGCATTTCACGATATCCTTTAATTTGCTATAAAGCTAGAGTAGATGTAGAAACGCGAAAATCGACTTAATAAGATAAAAAAATAAACGCAAAATCATAAATCTGTTAGCGGTGCATACAAGCCCGGTTTAATTAAGTCACCGTGGTTGAGCATCTGATGCATATGCCGTTTCGGATGGCGTCCCTTCGGCCTTTTTGCTGCATTTTTCCCGTCGTCTATACTGATATTTCCCAGCAATTTATCTAATGGATACGTGCTTTTTCCACGTAAATTGCACTTTGCTAAAGATACGTCTGTGCCTTCGCAAAAACTAACTCGTTAAATGGGAAAATGAAATATTATACACAATGGCGCAAAAGTCGTTTGGATTATGCGGCAATCCAATAATTACGAAATTCCGAACGCCGGGCGACTTCATAAAAAACGTTGTTTGACAAAAAAATATCCGAAATTCCACGACGAACGTTAATAATAAAATTAATTAAACTCGTATTATCCGGACGTATTTAGTGAAATCAAGGCGGATTCAACGAAATCGCGACCAATTACATCGTCATGCGGCGGGCAAACCGAGCTATATCGGCAGAAAGTGTCCATGCAGTTGCGTCAAATGAAATTACGATAGCGCTGAATGGGTGGGTAGTAAAGATAAAAATCAGCAACAACCACATGAGTAGTTATCACTAGAATTTCGTTAATGGAAGATAAATTGCAAAGCGAATCCGTTTTTCAAAAATACGAACAAAAACCTAAAAACGTATTAAACATTTGTCTTCATACACATTATTTATTTATTAATGCGAGTAACTACCTCCATTTCGTTTCTATTTAGATATTCTTTACAATTGAAATGGACCGAATAACGAACCGACCGTAGCTCGTTGCGAACTTTGACATTGTCCAGTTGGACGCAGTTTTAAACAAAACACACTAATTAATTTATCAAATCGGCAAAGCGGAAAACTAATTTTAGTAATTGCGGTTGTGGCACAAATCTGCTGGCGGTGCATATAGAACTAACTTAATTTGCTCAAAACGGTCGAACACGTGATGTAAATTTCCAGCGGTTTTCTTTAGCGCTTCTGCTAATTTATCACTTCAAATGCAGTTGCCTGTTTGATTAAAACTACAAAAAATATTCACCACATCATTAACTCGATTAAAGATAAAAAAAAACTACAAAAAAATTCCAATAGTTTCTAATTAATATATGAATATTGGAGACGTCAAAATTATCTATGAATCAAATATTGTGTATACCTATTCATTTAGTGTAAGTGACGATAAGGAAGAAAATTAATTGGCGGCGGCGTCGCGGCGTGGCGCAATTTTAAAACAATTCCGTCGAAGCAGCGATGTGTATTTTCCATTACGGCAGCGCAGCATCTCAATTAGTAATCCTAACACAGTTCAATCGAGATTTCAAGCATCGACACGATTCCATTCAGCTTTGATACTCGCAGGAAAGATCTTCAATCACGCCGACCGCATGCAATACAAACTTAATAAAGTGTTAGTTCCATTATGCACTTGAGTGAGAGCTTAAATGAGACGACGAATTTCCAGCGGCAGCTATCGCTGTAGAAGATAAGACCTAATTTGGCTGAGGTGTGTACAGTACGCCGCCTCTTTCCTGACTCGACATCTAATTATCAAAGGTGAAGGCTATTCGAAATTCTCAATAGCTCCACCGACGACGCTTCTGTTTACTTGCGTCACAAGAGATTTTGCTAATTGCAATGGTTTCCACATGTCGGGACGGCGGATTTACTACAGAAATTAATTGTATCTAATGAACTCAATAAGTTATGTATAAGTACTTACAGCTGATTCACGTCAGTGAAGTTATAATTACAAAATAAAATATAGTGGTTAACGATGGGTGTATAGTTTGGTAATTTGAAAGCTTCGGATTGCTTCTTTGTCTCTAGAGGAATAAATTCGGTTTCTCATGAACACAAAGATTCTTTTTTAGGTTTGTTTCTACTATCTAGTTCGCGTAAAGGTCGTTATTGATTCGAAAGCCTCTGTTTTCTTTTCACGTTGGCTCCTAAAAAGAAGAAAATCCGAATCCTTCACATCCCATTTAACCGAGATTTAAACGGTTATTTTTTATTGTTATTTTTCGAATTATCATGCTCTTTTTGACTCCGGATCGTTTCAAAACGAAAAAAGCAAAACTGTTTCATTTCAACATAAATTTATTCTAATATTGCTTATTTTGTTTGCAGTTACACTGGTCCTTCGATAGCACAAGGATCAGTACTTCAGCCTGCAAGCACAGCATAAAGGTAAGCTTCAAATTTTTATTTAAAATGGAAGTTGATAAAAAATAAATATTTTGACAAATAATGCAATATTTCAAAATTGCATGAGGATTAGTTACACACTTTTCTCAAAATTCTCATACTTACATATGTTATTTTTTACTTAAGAAAATAAATATAGCGTGAGGTGCCTCGTGTACATTAGTGATTTATTAGATTTTTCTATTAAATTTATTCGCAGTACTTTTATTTTGGAATTTAGGTTGCACTTTTGCTCTATTTTTTCGCCGGAATTCTATTGGCATTAAACGTGAAAATTGGTTTGCAATCCATCACTTCCTTCAACGGTACAAAGATTATCCAGAGCTTAGAATTTTAACTAGCCTTCGGACTTAACCGCAGCAGTGAATGAAAAATTGTAAATACCAGTTAGCTAGTGTACATTATAAGACTGTAAATACAAACAAAAATATTTAATGCATTCCAAATTTAAAAGCGGATAAAGTATAAATTATTACCACAATTACGGTAGCTCCAATTTTCCCACTTGGGAACGTTTTCATGATAAGAGTGAGTACTCACAGAAAATAATCCTTTCGGTCAATATTTAGTTTAACTAAAGTGCTTAAAATTATATATCTCTTAGCTCAACTTGAACAAACAAGGATATTTTAAGGAAGTTTACAAAGCCAGCGATTTTTCTTTGAACAAGTTTAATAAAATCGTTAAAGCATTTTCTGACTGTTTTAAAATCTTTATGGCATAGGAAGTTTTCGCCGGAAGTATTTTCCAAAATTTATTATGTAAATACGAAAAATTCTTATCGAATAATAAAATCTCCAAAGATTTTTAAAGGCGTTATTTTCTAATTTGAATATATTCTAAATGGGATTTTCTACGGAATGAAATTTTTATACCAGTTACGTATTTTTCTGATAAAACTATGGTAGGCAGTTCGGTTAGTAAACTCCTGCAACGACAGGATAACTGTTGGTTTATTGTTTGTAGATATATTGAAAAATAATCTTTTATATCCAGGAGTGCATGTTCCAAGAATACATATTCTAGAAATATTTCTATTTATTTTCGTTTAATAAATAAAAATACTGAATATTGCATACAGAATACCTGTTATTACTAGGTATTTTATCCCACAGCAATTACTAATTTCACATAACCTAAAAAGGGTCCAAATTATAAAAAAAAAACCATCTCCTGAATTTTTGTTTTATTCGCGATAAAACCGAAATCCCACTTGACAAATTCGACGGTATTAAGATCAGACTCGTCGCTTTTTTGGTTTACGCCGGAGACTTGAAAGCATTTACTGCCATATCGTTTGTTCTCTAGAATTGCTTTTTAGCTTATTGAATTATTAAAAACACACTACTCCCTTCAATTTGTCGTAGAGCACGATGGTTGATATTTTTCTATCAATTTTTATAATACCCTAGCCATTTCTACTCGTAATAATAAATGTAATTTGTAGTGCACTTAATGATTTTTTAATATAATAATTTCAGTTCTCAGTCAAATTTCCAAAATTAGTTCTGAAATTTTACATAGTTTCGGAAATGTCTTCTGTAAATCTGGACAAAGGTATTAGCAGAACAGTTTAATATTAATTTTCTCGACTGAGCCTTTTGGGCATCGGTCTTTGGAATAATACATGAACTCATAATCCCCAAGATTTAATAACAATCCACTAAGCTAAAGCACGCATGTACAATCTAAATTTAGATCGCTTGCTCCGAGTTTACGTGTAAATCCGTTTATGCGAATTTAAAATAATTTATTTACTTTTAGTCGATAAATTAACGAGTTTACGTACAAAATTGATTGATGTTGTAACCGTTGCACAGAAAGTTTACCACTTTTTTGCCCATTATTAATTTCCATGGAATGACTATTAACTTCAGGCCTTACAACTCGTTTCCGAAACAATTTGCTAAGTGTTTTTGATAAAAACCGAAATTCGATCGGAACTGTACGAGAAAACAACTCTGAAAACCCAAACCGCGAAATGACAAAGCATATAGCGAACTGCCGAGACGCAGATATCAATTCCAAATTTTCCGAGAAAATTATCTGAAATGTAATACGGTAATGGCCTCATTCGCCGGTTGAAGTGTTATAATAAAGTATATCGAAGCATGTCAGATGTCTCTAATAAACCCTGCCATATTAGAAAGGATATCGATTCTGAGACACTCGGAATTGACGTCCGCTAAAAGCTCTATCATCAACAGTTTACTAGCTATAGATATAAAATTGTGGTATTACAAAAGAAATATGTCACCAAATTAAGAAGTTATTCTTTTACACATTTAGCTGGAACAAGAGTTATACACTGCATTAAAAAACATCCACGCCAATGGATAAAATTATTCTGGATTTTTCGAATTCGACAGGGCCTATCAATTTCTCCACCTATCGGCCGGCTTTTTATCGGGGAAACTCTTCTCTCCGATATCATAAAAACGGAATGACTTTGTTCTCGGAGTAATAAACGTCACCACAAACGATTAAAGCAATATGCTTTCGTGAAAGCAACTTCTTCGATTCCAGTTTTTTTTCAAATTTAATGAGCCTGTCAATTGCGATTGGTGGGCAATTTATTTCACATCATTCGTCGTTGGGCGGTAATTTGGACATCAATCTCACTTACAAACGTCGATAAAGACATAATTATATTTGTCGCTTCTGCCGTTATACCGTTTTTGATGCACATAAATCCCGAATATAAAAATATCGAAGTATCCACGTCTATGCAGTGCACGCATCTATCAAATGAAAAAAAGGTATTTCAAAAACTAGATTGAAACTCGCATACATCACTGGGAATCCCATATCTCCGTCTCTATCGGAGTCATTTATATTTCCACTTGAGTTTCTCGGCTCAAGAGAAATGATCGGTATATTATTACTCACAGAGCACAGGAATCACGGCTGCCGGAACGCTTTATCATTAGGAGAACGAGAAGATACATGTAAAACATGGAAAATTATTGGAGAGGTTCGGAACTGAAAATGCAAAATTCGTATAACGAGGTTAAGAGTTGTATTACCGTCGAAAAGTGTCGTGAATATGAAATAAGCGGCATTCTCTTTACGTTGAATCGAAAATTTTTCTCAGTCGCGGGAAAAAGTTTATCAAGCGATAATTTATAGTTTGGTTTCTGTTTAATTTTTTTCACAAAAATATACTGTAAAGACTAATTATTTTTTATATGGACCTTGATGACTTGTCAATAAAAATTGCCCTTTTGTTACTACTCCGTTGCTTTGATAAAATTTCGTTAAAGTTCGATCAATCAAGGGTTCGTTATTTTATTATAAGGAATGTGACGAGATAGTAAACTTTTTACGATTTTTTTTCGACAGAATCCAATAGAACGCCGGTTTTATGTCGGTCATTAACTTTTATCTGTCGAAAATATTGAGTACATTAGAGTAAAATAAATTGAGACTCCCTATCATCTATCTCGCTGTAATTTCTAATTAAAATTACGCAATATTAAAGTTTGAATTTGCTAATGCTTAATTAAATGTCTTTATTTTTAGTGGTATTCCATAATTCTCCTTAAATTTTCAAATACTTTCGTACAAGTTCAGAACAATCTTCAATTGTGAAACAGCTTATCTCAATTTAATACGTCGCTAATTTATCCTTTTAAATATTACATTTTGAGTTCGAGCTGATTCTCTTTAGCATAAAATGAATATTATATAGTTGCAATTTTCCGCAGCTCGTCTGTATGTCGCACTTAATTATTTTAAATTTTGCTCCAAGACACCACGCGCTACAGAAATTTAATTTTCGCCCTACTTTGTTGGGTTAATTATAAATCTGATCTTACAGTTTTGTAGCCACCATTCTCTTCTTTGTGGCAGGAATTCGTCTCCAAACTGCAACTGTGGAGCAACCAGATGAATTGTTACAGAATGTCCCAAAAGCGCCACGAAATTAATTTTAGCATTGCTAAAATTAAGTACATGTTTCTATTATGTTTTGTATATGCATACTGTGTTCAAATGATGATTAAAGAAATTCAATTAACAATTTGAAGTAAAATAAATTGGCAATAATTCAGGTATCCAATTTTCCAAAACTAAAAGTCTAACGACTAGTCGCTATAACTATATACTTTAAAAATAAATGAAAATGTTTATTTGAAACTCGATCTTCTTTGATCCGTTTCATCGTAGAAAGATTACTTGTATATAGCAAAATTCGGGCTCTCGATAAAAAGAAATAACTAATATCTCGCCGGTCTTATGCCCTTAGCGAATCGAGGAGTTTATAATCCTTTTGAATTTTTTATAAATGATATTTCGAAGTTGTAGTCGTTTGAGATTTCCGTTCCGTCAATAAGAGAATGCTTATAAGGAAAGTAACGTCGGGAGCTTTTTTTTGTATTTGCTTTCTTCACTTCTCGTTAAAAATTCATTGAATTATTGAGACTGAAGGCAATTGAATTAAGGAAATGAAAAATGAAAAAGTTGAAATGTATGAAGATATTAATGTTTTTTATTTAATAATACATTGCGGTAGTGTTTAATAGAATAAGTGGATAGGTATACATAATTTAAAGATGAAGCTATTTAATGAGTGCATTGAAATGATATACAAACTGAATAATAGAAACGGAATTAATTTCGGTAACAGCAACCTGTTGATTTGAGTACATCTGTGGAAAAGTGATTTATTTTGTTTATTGTTTATGTTTAATGGAATATCCAATGGATTTGATTGCGATTTGGATAATCTTGGTTCAATTACCTGTATAGACTCGTCCATGTGCTTGCATAAATAAATGTTTATACAGAGTGTCTATGTTCGAGCGCTGCAAATAGTAGAAAGAGAGAATCAGTCGAACTGTGGAGAGGCGCGGCTTCGGCGCGATGAATCGGCGGACGAATGTAGCGCTCGACTTTAGACACAGTGTATACCTACTACATAATATAAAGAAAATAAAAAACGCGGTAGCAACCCGTAGAAATTGAGTAACATTTTCTTCATA